ACTGTATTTTCCCTTTTTCGTTTAATAAATTGGGTAATACGAGTGTAATGGTGACTAAAGTGTGTTTTTTCATGTCCTCTATGCTCTTAACTATGAAAATATTTGATTGACAAATAAGGAATCCTACTTCGCGGGATTTCATTTATCACGGTAGGGTCTAGAACCGATTAACCGCGATAAACGAGGGTTCACTGTACGTAAAAGGAGCCAGACATTCAAAAAGTAGATTCCAAGATTGAGACGAAAGCTTTGCAGCTGGAGGGAGTGATGTGTGAAAAGACCCTGAGGTAGGGAAGAGCTGGATGGTGTTTGAAGAGCAAACAACTAGTGCGTCTGAAATGAGATGGTCGAGGAAGGATCTGGTGTGTGAGGAAATGGAAGAGAGAATGAAGGGGCAGACTAGGCGCCACTTGAGGTTGTGCATGTTGGATTTCACGCTGAAAACAAAAACGCTGCTATTGAAGTTGATTCTGACCTATAGTGATCCGTAGGAGTCTAACAGCCCCTGTGCGTTTTCCAGAGTGTAACTCTTTACAAGAGTAGAAAAGCTAATGAGAAAATTACTTATGGTTTGAAGAAGAGTGATATCTAAATTTCCAGTGATGACTTCTGCTTCAGTGTGGACAATCAATTGGAAGAAGTCAAAAACAGAAACCAGAGACCAGTTAGGAGATTATGGTAGTAATTCAACCAATCTAGGGGCAGTGACTATGACAGCGAATATTTTGAATGATATATGAAGGGGCATCAAAAACTCAGTGTAAATTTTTCATTATCTTTTAGTTACAATTTTCCACAAATTCCCCCTTGTATTTTGGAGGTGGGAATGGTAGGACTTGCTAAGGATTGATCCAATATGTAGAATAAGAGAAAGAGAAGAATCAAGAATGATGCCTAGTATCTAATGGAGTAAGTAAGTAGATTGATAATGAAGCAATTTACATAGGAAAGTTGGTTTATAGGGATTTTCTCTCGCAGTGCCATCGACTCATAGTGAACCTGTGGGACAGGGTAGAACTGTGCCTGTGGGTTGTCAAGACTATAACTCTTTCTCAAAGTAGAAAACCTCATCTTTCTCTTGAACTGCTAACCAATGAGTAGCCACTATACCACCAACGAGAGAGCTTTGTGGGGATAGAGGTAAAAGGAAAAATTGTATATAAATTTGCTATATAAGTCAGTGTTTATGTTCTGATGCTATAACAAACCTGGTCAAAGACTCACTTGGCTTCTAGTAATGTTTTCTTATAATGGGTTGTTTTGTTCCCTTTACCTGTCTGCAGCTGTAAGTCTGGCTCCATAGGCCTTGCTTTAGGACTCAAGTTAGATGAGTAGCCCACTTCTGGTTAGCCGGGCAGTAATGTAGATTAGGTATCCTCCTCTGCTAGAAGGCAGACAAGTTACACGGCATACCCAAACCCACTGTCGTCCAGTCCGTTCCAATTCAGTGACCTATCGATCAGCGTATTAACTACTCCCTGTGATTTCTGAGACTCTAAACTGTTCAGGAACAGAGAGCTGCTTTCTCCCAAGGCTACTGGGTTTAAATTGCCGACTGCATTTAGCAGCCCCAAGCCTGCTTCTCTGACACCATGGTAATATGGGAATATTTCGTTCTCATTCATGGAGCAGGAATGAATAATTGCAAACAATGATACATTCATCACAGTTCAAGAAAATTAAGAATTCTATGTTAGATGTGTGACATTTGAGAGATGTGTGAGACATCTATGTTCAGATGTTAAGTACAGTAGGATATGTGGTCTCAAAAAACCCAAAAAGATAAACTTCCTGCCATTGAGTTGATTCTGACTCTGACCCTGTAGACAGAGTAAACTACCCCTGTGTGTTTCTGAGACTGACTTTTTTTATGTAGTAATAGAATGCCTCATCTT